GAATCGTCAAGCCAGGCCCGTGGCCAGGAGGTGCTTGAGGCACATGCAGCCTCCGCAGCAATCGCCGCTGCCAGGACCTCCCGTGGTGTTTGACATGGGTGGGGGGGATACAGTAAAAGGTGATCCCGAACTATGGGCTGGAATGTCAAGAATGAGCCCAATAATTTGGGTTTGGGGTTAGGGTGGGCACTTGTGCAGGAGCGGCCATATCAAGGTGATGGAGCTGCTATGGGAGGAGGGCTTCACCGGAATGCTGCAGGCTCCCGTTGTTGCAAAGACCAGCAGCATTCTACTGGGCTGGTTGTGAATCAAGCATCTACACTGCTACACCCCAAGTATCAATTCGCAATTCGCATGGGCTCCATCGTTTTCGATACGCATTCAAGTGGTTTCGAGCACTGTAAGACTGTTGGTATTTTGATTTTCTGGAAGCCTGAGATTTCTTCCGTCGCTTGTCCCCGATCCTACAAGATATCTCAATAGTTTCTGGACTCGATCCTTCTTCTCGCACTGAACCCTTCTAAGATCCCCGAAGCCTTGACCACCCCGCCACCCGAAGGCCAGCGTTAGCGGCACGACGCCCTTGCACGAAGCTGCGAGATGCGGAAGGTGCGATTCGTCGCTGTACTTTCAGTTCATATTTTCTTCAAACCACAGAAGCTTTTGAAGAGATATGTGTAGTGTCGGCTTTGCTGCGTTTTGCACTCCATACTTCTACTCGCCACCCTCCTCCAAGCAATGCAGGCCGGAAGCCGTTAGGTGGCTCATCGCCCACAAGGCAGGGTCACCGCAGCGCAGCCTTCAAACTCTTCAGTGACGCGCGGCCGTCAGAAACTCGCATTGGAAAGCTCACTGAGATTCAGCGAAGTCGGCGAACCACCCGAAGTGCTGGAGGGATTCTATTGTTGTTGTTCGACAAGAGTGTGTGTGTGTATATATATATATATGAGCGACGGCGTTTATTTACGTCAATACTTTGCTCTGTTGAAACGAGATACCTCCGTGCGGTAATTTATTTTTCAGAACTTCCTCTAAGAGGGGAACGAGATAGGGGCACCGCATAAAACGAGATCAGGTACATGTATGGCTGTAACAGTTAAAGGGCTGCTACTACCGATGTTTGAACGAGATCAAGAATTTCTGCCAGTACTTATAACATGATGAAACGAGATAGGGGCACCCCTGCGAGATACCGCAATTAGCCTAAGCCGTAAATAAACGCAGCGGCTCATATGTATATGTATATATATATATGCATACATACTACTGGTAGGTTTCCCAGTAGTACCCTTTTGCACTTCTTGTTTTGGGGTCGCTGTAATAAACCGAATATTAGGAAATATTGTGATGGGCATACTGGGGAACCTAGTTTTTGTATAAGTATCTGTTTTTTTGGTTAGCGCGCGTGTGCGCGAGATAGAACGAGAGAGTGATCGGGGGAACACATCACTCTCCCTCTACTTTGCTTGATCATGATATTGTCTGTTCATACGTCATTTGAGTCTGTCTCCGATCGGCTTGGAACAAAACTTGCGACCATGTCTAACTACTTTCGCCCCTCGTACCTGGCACAAAAAAATCTTGTCAGCCGCGGGGTAAATGTGGTTGTGCTTTCACGTGTCGCCACAAGGCCCGTGTACAGAGATGGGCCAATTGGCCCGGACCTGGTCTCCTAAGCCCCGGAGTGAAGTGAGGTGAGGTGGGGTGAGCTGAGGTGAGAGAAAGAGAGACAGAGAGAGAGAGACAGAGAGACAGTGAGACAGTGAGAGCGAGAGAGCTGGGCCTAGTTACCACTTGCAAAAGCAGCATATGTGACACGTGACGCAGGCAGACTGCGCCACATTCGACAATACCAGTTCGACGCCTGGACTGCGTTCATGGACCTGCTCTTTGGCCACATAGTGTTGACAGTGCTTGTGTAGACGATCTGAGGAACGCGCTGCACGTGGCGGCCGCTTTTGGGCAGACGGCGGTGGTCCAGCTTCTGATGCAGTCAGACTCTTGGCCGCTTCAGTTGCAGGAATTGCACCAGTTGGGGATCAGGTTGCGAGAGGCCGAGGTTACCCGCTGTGGATGCAGAATCAGATGACATGACTCATGCCCGATTAAGCGGGACTTGTTTGAGATCATGGTCTGCTTGAGTATACCTAGCAGTACTTGACACACCAGAATGTGGCACAAACAGGTACCTTGTGCAAAGGGGACCTGACTTCGAGCAATTTCGGAGTGCTGCAGAACTCTATCACTGTTTCGACCATGGTGAGAAGGCACGGTTCGTGCGGCTGTTTAGCAAGCCAATGTATGGGTGATCAGTTAACGGTGATGCTCACCAACTACGATGGTAGTGGCGATGACGATGATGTTGATGATGGACACCCTAATCGGTGGCCTTACCCGTGCCTGTCAAGCAATTCTTACCACGTTTTCGATCAGGCGTAGGTAGCGGTAGCAGCACCACTACTGTCAAACCTGTCATTATGTCAGTTGGGACGACCATAGGTCTTTGCGAGCATCACACGCTCGGAATTCCGACTTGGTGCTCTATCGGGGGCACTTTGTGCGGGACGTTTGTGTACACCAAAGCTCCGACAGAAGTATTTCCGACCGTGAGAGCCTACCCTGAGATTCCCAACCCTAGAATCTTAGAACCCTGTAAATACTTACTTCAGAGCAGCCCGTCAATCCGAGGACGCAGACATTGATCTCCGAGATTCTCGAGGTCCAGCGTGTTGATTTCAATCGGTTTAGTGAGTTTAGGGTAGCTCAGAACCCAACCTCAGCCCAGACGTGTCGTTCATCGAGCGATACATGGGAGTTCAGATGTAATTATCTATCGTTCGAGATATGTCCTCATTCATCACTTTCCTATACAGGTATTAGTCAACCTGTGAAGACATCTTGCCAACTCCCGTACTCCCTTATTGTCATCCTGATGGTGCTGATCATGATAACCTGGTGTCGATGATGATGGCTCTGACGACGAGGACGATGACGACGATTTGACGATGATGCTGATGCGGATGATGGCGCACTGATGATGATGCGGCTGTCGATGACGGCATTTCTTCTTGTTGTTGCGAGTGACGGCGTGATACTGTAAACGTCGTGCTTGTGGTGGTGCTGACGCTGCTTGTCTTCGCCGCCTTTTGGTGGCGGAGGCGGTGGTGGTGCCAGCAGCGGTGCTCCTGCTGCTGCTGGTGCTGGTGCTGGATATGACTTGTCGATGTGCCATTAATCCTACACCCAATCGTTCGCATAGAGGCGCGTCGGCCCTGATTTTGTCGACCCTCCGTGGCCACACTGAGACCACTGCCGTGCTGTTGCAGGTGCCAGCTAGAGAAGGGTTCAGGGGGTCCGTCGGGGTAAGCCCTCACCCCTAGAGTCTTAGAGACACTACCCATAGGCTCCTAAGTAGTTCCTTTTTGTGCCTATTTTTAGGATCCTATAAGGTAATCCCAAAAAGGAACTACTAAGGAGCCTATGGGTAGATACTACGGGAGCTTTCTGGTCTATGTTGACCCAGTGCCTTCTCGTTGGACCCCGGGCAGGCCCGAAGCGAATTAGACTTGCCTCTCTGGGCCTCTAACATTTGCCATAATCTTGTTTGTGCAGTTGTTGTTTTCAGAGGCTGCTGTTCCGCCACATTTAGACACATTCGATGCCATTTTGTGAGGTTCCGAAGGGATTGTACGACGATCTTCCTTCTGCTGATACTCACATCAACACCGATGACATGAGCATCATTCCATTGTTATTTATGAGGGTCTTGCAAGTATTGTGGTTGAAACGGGTGCGCCAGTCGCGCTGTGACACCACGAGTAGTGTGCCGACAGCGAGTGCCGATCTACTGGGTCTGAATGTTAATGAAAGTGCTTAAGCATTCACTGAAGTTGATTGTGTTGTTAAGTTGAGAAGCACCACACCTTTGATTTCTCACTCGTCTTTCCATGCGCGTTGGGCGGCATCGTGGCACCATCAGCTTCTGGATGGTATCGGGAACATCTATGTACTCCCGATAGAACTTTTTGACGGTAGTGCTGTTTTGGGAGGCATGTTGTCGGATCTGTTTGACATTTCCGATGGAGAGCCTGATGCACTCCTAAGCACACCTCAAACGACTCGGAATCCGAATCCGGCAGGGGCGGGCCGACATTTCTGCGCATGACGTGCTCCTTGGCGACGTCAAGCCGGGAATTCAATTAAATTATAAGAATTGAAGAAATAGTCGCTGCATATCAGATATGAAGGATTCTGTCCGTTCCTTTTGTTCCGGTCCACTTCTCTCGTAGGTAAGGCTACGAAGATACGAAAGAGAGTTTGCTGCAACAGATCTTCCTCCGCAAACTGGACATCCGTCACAGGCATGACCTGAAAATCATAGCAAACCTGCATCAGCACCTACAAGGCCATCTAAGCCCCTCCCCCCCTCAAAACCCCACGACCGACACTCGAAGAGCTCTTCTCAAAAGCCCATATGACTCGTCGAAAGTCGGAATCTCTACCAAGGAAAGGCCGCACCTGTTCGAGTCTAGGGCACGAGTCCAGACCATTTGAGCAATTGCGCTCGCAGCATAATCATCGCGCGATGCAAAGGAGGTGAAAAGAGACTGCGTTGCAGGTCTTCGTCTCTGGGGCCGGGGTCCGATCATCATAGCTACTGCTACTAGACATGTTCTGCCTATGCCGCTTCAGCCCTGCCTGCCTTTTTTGCACACTCCAGAGCAGTCCTTTGCTGATGATGTCAGGTAGCATCGATGCAATCACACATTGTGTTGCGAGCGACTTGCGCGTTCCCACAGTCCCCTATCAGCATGTTACCATTGTCACGTAGCTGTTTCAGTGGCACAAGCTGGGAACTCTGATTTTCATTGGTCTCAATCGCGCGCACGATGAAAATGACGGACATTGAGATCTTCGACCACTTGGACGATCTCGTCGACTTCTTCGTGGTGCCCCTGATCACGGAGGGCAACCTCGACGAGGATGAGGACGACAACGGCTGAGACGACGGAGCATATGTTGCCGTACCTTTCCCCTCCGCGGAGTCTGCGGGTCGCTGCAGACCCGCGGCACAGCTGCCGATGCCGCCGCCCGCCTGCGCAGTTCGGCTGTGCCAGCTCGCGTTCTCTCAATGCAGTTGTCTTCGTCGCTCGGGTGCTGTTAGAAGGCCAGTGGTGTTTCATCTGTCGAATGTCCACAGCCTCCAACTTCAATAACCGATAGACCTCGCAGACAAACCTGATTGGTCTTTCCGTGGGGATGTCATGTGTATATATATATATATATGTGCATCAGCTTTATAAGTGACTTTAGTGCCCGAGGCCTTTGGCAGCCGCCTGGCAGTCAAGTCACGCCGCTGGCCGGGGATCCATGCGCCAAACACGCAAGCATCTGCCGTCTGGCCCGATCCAAGCGCGGAGCTTCGCGAGGCTGGAGACACAGAGCCTTAACTTCACCTTAATAAAACTATGCAGATCCCGCTCTGCTGACTTCACGGCCGTGGTGTGGATGTTTTAGGCTCAGTCCAGATATATCCATATACCAAACCACTCAGGACGCGTTGCGCCCTGCCTAAGAGCCTTGCCGTACATGCATCGAACCAACGACCCAAACGAAGGAAGGGCAACAAGGAGAGTTTGTACTGTTGATGATACACATCCTGCATTGCCGTAAGGACCCTAAACTAAGGGAATTATGGTAGAGTTCTTCTTATGGGTAATGCAGGATTTATATCATCAACCGTAGTAGGCGTTGTAATGGCTTCGCCTAATTAAGCTACAAATTGTTTGCAGCGGCCCTCTAAGTCAAAACGTCCGTCATGTGAAAGGGCGAGGCATCAAATTCACCGTGCGAAAGTCCTAATCATCCTAATCTATCAAGCCCCCAAGGAAGAAGGAGAAAACAGATTCGGTTCAAAGTAAACAGCATGGAGAGTTCTGTCCATAGTGCCGGGGGCATCGCTGTCAAGGAGCAGGGGCTCGTGCTGGAGGACTGCACAGCCAGCGTGTCCTTGGACGAGATGCGCCCCCATCGGATGGGTGGCCTGATCGATGGCTGGGCTGCACGATCCTGGACACGAGACCTCCTAGTGGCCTCGGCATGAAAAGACCCGTCGGAGTCGGAGAGTATCGTAGAGTCGTGCCCTCCGTCGCTCTTATAGCGCTGACCATAACATAGCACCTGACAAACTTAGCTGCCTTAGCTTGCAGACGCCCGGAAACCTCAACCAGGTAGAGCAGTTTGGGCGCTTGGAGTTCCGAGTTCGGCCTTGCGAGACGCTTAATCAGTACGGCTACGCTGGACCATCCGAGAGCTACCTATCTTTGGAGGAGTACTTGTCGGCGGATTTTGACGGCAGGCCGACAGATGGTTCATGAAAGACCAAAACCGAGTTGAACTCAGCTTATCTAGCACCTGTTCTTGATTGACATGCAGCAGAGGTCGTGTCAAGACACTCGTTGTTCCAGGCTGAGGCCTCAGAAAAGAGAAGCCACCCCGAGCAGGTCCGTCGTTTTCGAGAACGACTTCGAGAGTAACCGGCACGAGCTTCTGGAAAGTGTTCGGGCAGCATTCATGTTCTGAAGGTGTTGAGCCTTATAGGAGCCTGGACTCAACAAGGTTTCGACGTGCCACCGCTGCTGGCCAGTGTTCATGGAGCTCCTATCCTCAGCATCGGCCGCCAAGATACGGGCATCGGATTCCACAGGCCTACATAAGCTGTGTTCCGCACTTTCGCCGAGTTCTGACATCCTTAACCTGGGCATTTGAGGCCACAGCGGTTCAAGTGTAAGGACTGCTGGAGGAAAAATAGCTTGCAAATCCACCCCATAGACAAAAGCAAACGTTCCGAAACCCTCAAGCCCTCAAGACGGACCCGTCACCCTAAAGCCCACACATGATCTGTGTTGTGATCTCTGTTGCAGGCACAGCGCAGCCTGGCTGGCCCAGCTGCTGGGTCGGAAGCTTTGGCTCTTGCTCCCAGGCTCGCAGACCCTAAACCTTGATGCACTTCAGGGTTTAGCTTTTAGGGTTTAGGAACTGCGAATCCCCAACCCCAAGCCCAAGCCATAAGACCATGTCCCTTGCGAACACGTGGCTGTTGCGGTGGTGAAAGAGGGCTTCATAATATGGGGCCAAGCTGCCTGCAGAGGGCTGCAAGTCCATCTGCGGAACTCCAGCTCCCTTGTTGTCTGCAGGCTACAGCGGCTACAGATACTTACAGGTATGTCACAGTGAAGCTGGACAAACCTCGGAACGACGATATAAATCATTACCTTAAGGACCTTAAACTATGGGAATCAGGGTATATTCCCTATTACACATGGGTAATGCAGGATTTATATCATACACCGTATGCCGGGATTCCCCCCTCTGAAAAAGCAGGTGGGAAGCGGCCTCCGGCCAGAGCTCCATGGCAGTACCTGCAGCACCGTCCACCGGGGCTGGTGCCTTGGCGTTCTCGGGTTAGTTACGGTTTCAGGTAGTTACATAAGTTCATGCAGGGATATATATATATATATATGTGTATATATATATACATATATATATATATATTGATTGCAGGGTGTGCATGGGGGTTTGGAGGTTTTCTGCGGCTACCAGATAATCTGAATCTGAAACCTTCGACGGAGCCTCTACTCCCGTAGCTTTCAGGTGGTCTGCGTGGCCCATCCGCGGGAGGTGGTCTTCGTGCCTGCGGGATGGTGGCTCGACGTTGAGGGGTTGAGGGACTCAAGGCTTCCTAAACCCTATACCTGAAAAGCCAAGTAGCCCAAAAAAGCAGACTACCATACCCCAAAGTAGCCCATAATGGGCTCAAAGTAGCCCATAAACACAGACTACTGGCTTTCCAGGTAAACCCTCTAAACCCTCCTTGTAATAAGACTTCCACGGCGACGGGCTTCTTCGGCAATGTCGAGACGTAAAGTTTCGGGATCCAGAGAACGGTTCTGGGGATTCGTGTGTTTGTAGATCACGCGGAGGCTTGCAAGGACTTTGACGTTATCTCCAGGTCTACAATAATTGCAATCCTGTTTGTTTTGGCTTTGCAGGCTGATTGCTCGAGCAATGTAGTGTAGACGATGGACGTAGTGTAGCCGTGGGAGCTCTGGCAACGCGTGAACCCGCCCCAAGTGCAAGAGCGAGAGAAGACTCCTACCTTACCCTGCATACTCAAAGGAGGAGCTCCTTATATGTAGGGTCCCTAAGCAAGGACACATTGTGAGTTTCAGAAAATGCAGGACCCTAACAGTTAGAATCTCAACAGGAATCCTTAAAACAGGTCTCCCCCAGTTTCCTGAACCTCACATCGAGGTGGCATGCCACTTGGAACTTGGACGACATCAGCGTCGCTGCAGGCTGGGAGGCTGGTGACTCTGGGAAATGGAGTCCCGAGATGCACGCCATCGCAGATGGCGAAGTGGTCCAGCCTGGTTTAGAAGCCCTGATCGCTCTTCCTCGTTTCACGTTCCCCTAAACCCTAAACCCCTAAACCCTAAACCCATTTGTGAGAGATTTGGCTCTGCAAAGCTCTAAGGAAAAATCGGCTGAAAGCACTTCTTGCACCAAGGTAGCTGGGTGATCAGTTAACGGTGATGCTCACCAACTACGATGGTAGTGGTGATGACGATGATGTTGATGATGGACACCCTAATCGGTGGTTTTACCCGTGCCTGTCAATCAATTCTTAATTACCACGTTTTCGATCAGGCATAGGTAGCGGTAGCAGCACCACTACTGTCAAACCTGTCATTATGTCAGTTGGGACGACCATAGGTCTTTGCGAGCATCACACGCTCGGAATTCCGACTTGGTGCTCTATCGAGGGCACTTTGTGCGGGACGTTTGTCTACACCAGAGCTCCGACAGAAGTAACTCCGACCGTGAGAGCCTACCCTGAGATTCCCAACCCTAGAATCTTAGAACCCTGTAAATACTTACTTCAGAGCAGCCCGTCAATCCGAGGACGCAGACCTTGATCTCCGAGATTCTCGAGGTCCAGCGTGTTGATTTCAATCGGTTTAGTGAGTTTAGGGTAGCTCAGAACCCAACCTCAGCCCAGACGTGTCGTTCATCGAGCGATACATGGGAGTTCAGATGTAATTATCTATCGTTCGAGATATGTCCTCATTCATCACTCTCCTATACAGGTATTAGTCAACCTGTGAAGACAGCTTGCCAACTCCCGTACTCCCTTATTGTCATCCTGATGGTGCTGATCATGATAACCTGGTGTCGATGCTGATGATGGCTCTGACGACGAAGACGATGACGACGATTTGACGATGATGCTGATGCGGATGATGGCGCACTGATGATGATGCTGCTGTCGATGACTGCATTTCTTCTTGTTGTTGCGAGTGACGGTGTGATAATGTAAACGTCGTGCTTGTGGTGGTGCTGGTGCTGCTTGTCTTCGCTTCTGGTGGTGGCTGAGGCGGTGGTGGTGCCAGCAGCGGTGCTACTGCTGCTGCTGGTGCCGGTGCTGGTTAAGACTTCTTGATGTGCCATCAATCCTACACCCAATCGTTCGCATAGAGGCGCGTCGGCCCTGATTTTGTCGACCCTCCGTGGCCACAAAGAGACCACTGCCGTGCTGTTGCAGGTGCCAGCTAGAGAAGGGTTCAGGGGGTCCGTCGGGGTAAGCCCTCACCCCTAGATTCTTAGAGACTGCCCATAGGCTCCTAAGTAGTTCCTTTTTGTGGCTTATATTTAGGATCCTATAAGGTAATCCCAAAAAGGAACTACTAAGGAGCCTATGGGTAGATACTACGGGAGCTTTCTGGTCTATGTTGACCCAGTGCCTTCTCTTTGGACCCCGGGCAGGCCCGAAGCGAATTAGACTTGCCTCTCTGGGCCTCTAACATTTGCCATAATCTTGTTTGTGAAGTTGTTGTTTTCAGAGGCTGCTGTTCCGCCACATTAGACACATTCGATGCCATTTTGTGAGGTTTGTCAGGGATCGTACGACGATCTTCGATGCTGATACTTACACCAACACCAATGACATGAGCATCATTCCATTGTTATTTATGAGGGTCTTACAAGTATTGTGGTTGAAATGGGTGCGCCAGTCGCGCTGTGACACCACGAGTAGTGTGCCGACAGCGAGTGCCGATCTACTGGGTCTGAATGTTAATGAAAGTGCTTAAGCGTTCACTGAAGTTGATTGTGTTGTTAAGTTGAGAAGCACCACACCTTCGATTTCTCACTCGTCTTTCCATGCGCGTTGGGCGGCATCGTGGCACCATCAGCTTCTGGATGGTATCGGGAACATCTATGTGCTCCCGATAGAACTTTTTGACGGTAGTGCTGTTTTGGGAGGCATGTTGTCGGATCTATTTGACATTTCCGATGGAGAGCCTGATGCACTCCTAAGCACACCTCAAACGACTCGGAATCCGAATCCGGCAGGGGCGGGCCGACATTTCTGCGCATGACGTGCTCCTTGGCGACGTCAAGCGGGGAATTCAACTAAATTACAAGAATTGCAGAAATAGTCGCCGCATATCAGATATGAAGGGTTCCGTCCGTTCCTTTTGTTCCGGTCCACTTCTCTCGTAGGTAAGGCTACGAAGATACGAAAGAGAGTTTGCTGCAACAGATCTTCCTCCGCAAACTGGACATCCGTCACAGGCATGACCTGAAAATCATAGCAAACCTGCATCAGCACCTACAAGGCCATCTAAGCCCCTCCCCCCCTCAAAACCCCACGACCGACACTCGAAGAGCTCTTCTCAAAAGCCCATATGACTCGTCGAAAGTCGGAATCTCTACCAAGGAAAGGCCGCACCTGTTCGTGTCCAGGGCACGAGTCCAGACCATTTGAGCAATTGCGCTCGCAGCATAATCATCGCGCAATGCAAAGGAGGTGAAAAGAGACTGCGTTGCAGGTCTTCGTCTCTGGGGTCGGGGTCCGATCATCATAGCTACTGCTACTAGACATGTTTTGGCTATGCCGCTTCAGCCCTGCCTGCCTTTTTTGCACACTCCAGAGCAGTCCTTTGCTGATGATGTCAGGTAGCATCGATGCAATCACAGAGTGTGTTGCGAGCGACTTGCGCGTTCCCGCAGTCCCCTACCAGCATGTTACCATTGTCACGTAGCTGTTTCAGTGGCACAAGCTGGGAACTCTGATTTTCATTGGTCTCAATCGCGCGCAAGATGAAAATGACGGACATTCAAATCTTCGACCACTTGGACGAGCTGGTGGACTTCTTCGTGGTGCCCCTGATCACGGAGGGCAACCTCGACGAGGATGAGGACGACGACGGCTGAGACGAGGAAGCATATGTTGCCGTACCTTTGCCCTCCGTGGAGTCTGCTGGTCGCTGCAGACCCGCGGCACAGCTGCCAATGCCGCCCACCTGCGCAGTTTGGCTGTTGTCAACGGCGTGCCGATAAACCCGAAACCTACACCCGGAAGGCGAGTTCGGGGCTTTGTGGTTTAGGGTATAGGCCTTGAGCTCATGATGTCGGGTTTAATCGCGGCTTTCGGCCGCTCTGGCACGCTCGACCCTGCCCCTTACCACCGCCATCCCGAGCGCACTCTGGGTCCCCCAGCCCGTCTCCCTGTATGACAACAACGTGAGGATAGGGACAGGGCAGATGTTAATGGGTTTGAGTGAGAACAGTGTTGTGATCTCATCGTGCAAACGCGCCAGACTGCAGGTGGCCTCTTCGTGGGGACGAATGCTGAGCGGATTGCCGAATACAAGCGCTTCGGCGAGACTGGCCGCTTGTTGTCACAGCAAGAATGTCAACAGTTTACGAAACGAGCCATAGCAATAGTTGAAACCAGAGTAGCAATTGCGGTAAGCCGCAGTTGCACAAGAAATGTTCTAAACGAGAGTTCTTGCAATTCGTGCTTATGGAGATGGCAGATGCCGAGGCAAAGACGTGTATCGCAACTTACGGTCACATGGCAGTGCTGTATGCGCAGCAGTATCCACAGGTGATACGTGATTGCATCCTTCTGCCCAAAGCTTGGAGACATTGCCTGACTTCGCAGGTCGACCAAGTGGCACAAATCATGCATCCATTCCTCTGTATCAAGTTCTTACGAGTCTTAGACGCTGGCACAAGCGCTTGGAGCGTACTGGATCCGCAACGAGTCGACCATGACTGCACGACTCCCGTGACCGAGCTCGTACCGGTGCCCGTGCTGGTGGGTGTTCCCGTCGCAGTCCCGGTGCCTGTGCCTGTGCCGACCACATGCTGCAGCCCAGTCACATGGCATCGGGCGGCGTGTCAAGGGGCTCGCTTCGTCCCTTGTTGCTGGATCCAAGCGTGCACATCTCCATCCTGCCATCATGGGCGGAATTTCAGCAGCGGTGGCATGGACAGAAGAGCGGCAAGATGTGTCGTACGCGTTCATGGCTGCCGAATGTGGCTGAGATGTCGTTGTACTGTGCCGGCCCAGGGCACGAGTCCAGACCATGTGAGCGATTACGCTCGCAGAATAATCGTCGAGTGACGCAAAGATGTGAAAAGAGACTGAGTTGCAGTCTTCGTCTCGGGGGCAGGGGGTTGATTAAAAACACAAGTATGCGTACCTGGCATGATGATCGGACCGTTGCTACTGCTACTAGACATGTTCTGCCTATGCTGCTTCAGCCCTGCCTGCCTTTTTTGCACTGTGCTGATGATGTCAGGTAGCATCGATGCAATCACAGATTGTGTTGCGAGCGACTTGCGCGTTCCCATGGTCCCCTACCAGCATGATACCATTGTCAAGTAGCTGTTTCAGTGGCACAAGCTGGGAACTTTGAGTCTAGTTTGTCTTAATCGCGCGCACGATGAAAATGACGGACATTCAAATCTTCGACCACTTGGACGAGCTCGTGGACTTTTTCGTGGTGCCCCTGATCACGGAGGGCAACCTCGACGAGGATGAGGACGACAACGGCTGAGACGAGGGAGCATATGTTGCCGTACCCTTCCCCTCTGCGGAGTCTGCGGTTCGCTGCAGACCCGCGGCACAGCTGCCAATGCCGCCACCCGCCTGCGCAGTTCGGCTGTGCCAGCTCGCGTTCTCTCAACGCAATTGTCTTCGTCGCTCGGGTGTTGTTAGAAGGCCAGTTGTGTTTCATCTGTCGAATGTCCACAGCCTCCAACTTCAATAACCGATAGACCTCGCAGACAAACCTAATTAGTCTGTCCGTGGGGATTTCATGTATGTGTGTATATATATATATGCATAAGCTTTACTGCCCGAGGCCTTTGGCAGCCGCCTGGCAGTCAAGTCAGGCCGCTGGCCGGGGATCCATGCGCCAAACACGCAAGCATATGCCGTCTGGCCCGATCCAAGCGCGGAGCTTCGCGAGGCTGCAGACACAGAGCCTTAACTTCACCTTAATAAAACTATGCAGATCCCGCTCTGCTGACTTCACGGCCGTGCTGTAGATTTTTTGGGTTCAGTCCAGATATACATATATATATATACATACATATGTATGTCATATATATATATACCAAATCGCTCATGACGCGTTGCGCCCTGTCTAAGGGCCTTTCTGTACATGGCATGCATCGAACCAACGACCCAACGAAGGAAGGGCAACAAGGAGAGTTTGTACTGTTGATGACATACATCCTGCGTTGCCGTAAGGACCCTAGACTAAGGGATTTCTGGTATATTCCTTCTTATGGGTAATGCAGGATATATATCATCAACCGTAGTAGGCGTTGTTAAGGCTTCGCCTATTTAAGCTATAAGTTGTTTGCAGCGGCCCCCTAAGTCAAAACGTCCGTCATGTGAAAGGGCGAGGTATCAAATTCACCGTGCGAAGGGCCTAATCATCCTCATCTATCAAGCCCCCAAGGAAGAAGGAGAAAACAGATTCGGTTCAATCTAAACAGCATGGAGAGTTCTGTCCATAGTGCCCGGGGGCTTCGCTGTCAAGGAGCAGGGGCTCGTGCTGGAGGACTGCACAGCAAGCGTGTTCTTGGACGAGATGCGCCCCCATCGGATGGGCGGCCTGATCGATGGCTGGGCTGCACGATCCTGGACACGAGACCTCCTAGTGGCCTCGGCATGAAAAGACACGTCGGAGTCGTAGAGTCGTGCCCTCCGTCGCTCTTATAGCGCTGACCATAGCATAGCACCTGACAAATTTAGTTGACTTAGCTTGCAGACGCTCGAAAACCTCAACCAGGTAGAGCAGTTTGGGCGCTTGGAGTTCCGAGTTCGGCCTGGCGAGACGCTTAATCAGTACGGCTACGCCGGACCATCCGAGCGCTACGTATCTTTGGAGGAGTACTTGTCGGCGGATTTTGACGGCAGGCCGACAGATGGTTTCAGGAAAGACCAAAAGTCCAAGTTGAACCCAGCTTATCTGGCTCTTGTTCTTGATTGACACGTCAAGACACTCGTTGTTCCAGGCTGAGGCCTCAGAAGAGAGAAGCCACCCAGAGCAGGTCCGTCGTTTTCGAAAACGACTTCGAGAGTAACCGGCACGAGCTTCTGGAAAGTGTTGGGGCAGCATTCATGTTCTGAAGGTGTTGAGCCTTATAGGATACTGAAGCGGGAGGTTGCATGCTGAAGCCCGGACACAACAAGGTTTCGACGTGCCACCGCTGCTGGCCAGTGTTCATGGAGCTCCTATCCTCAGCATCGGCCGCCAAGATACGGGCATCGGATTCCACAGGCCTACGTAAGCTGTGTTCCGCACTTTCGCCGAGTTCTGACATCCTTAACCTGGGCATTTGAGGCCACACAGCCCTTCAAGTGTAACGACTGCTGGAGCAACAAAAAGCTTGCAAATCCCCCCCCCCCCCACCAAGCAAAAGCAAACGTGCCGAAACCCTCAAACCCTCAAGACGGACCCGTCGCCCTCAAGCCCACACACGATTTGTGTTGTGATCTCTGTTGCAGGCACAGCGCAGCCTGGCTGGCCCAGCTTTTGGGTCGGAAGCTTTGGCTTTTGCTCCCAGGCTCGCAGACCCTAAACTTTGACGCGCTTCAGGGTTTAGCCTTTCGGATTTAGGAATTCCGAATCCCCAACCCCAAACCATAAGACCATGTGGACCATGTCCCTTTCGGAAACGTGGCTGTTGTGGTGGTGAAAGAGAACTTCATAATATGGGGCCAAGCTGCCCGCAGAGGGCTGCAAGTCCATCTGCGGAACTCCAGCTTGCTCCCTTGTTGTCTGCATGTCGTCTGCGGGCTACAGATACAGGTATGTCACAGTGAAGCTCCAGAAACCTCGGAACGACGATACCTAAACTATGGGAATCAGGGTATATTCCCTATTACACATGGGTAATGCAGGATTTGTATCATACACCGTATGTCAGGGTTTTCTCCCGTAAAAGCGGCAGGTGGGAAGCGGCCTCCGGCCAGAGCTCCATGGCAGTACCTGCAGCACCGTCCACCGGGGCTGGTGCCTTGGCATTAATCGGGTTCCTTACGATTTCAGGTAGTTACATAAGTTCATGCAGGGATAGATAGAGAGAGAGAGATATGATATATATATATATATACAAGCGGGGTGAATCTGAAACCTTCGACGGAGCCTCTACTCCCGTGGCTTTCAGGTGATTTGCGTGGCCCATCCCGGGGAGGTGGTCTTCGTGCCTGCGGGATGGTGGCTCGACGTGGAAGGGTTGAGGATCTCTCAAGGCTTCCTAACCCTAGACTCCCTCAACCCTAAACCCTCCTTGCAAACTTGTAAGACTTCCGCGGCGACTGGCTTCTTCGGCAATGTCGAGACCTACAGTTTCGGGATCCAGAACGATTCTGGGGATTCGTGTGTTTGTCGATCACGAGGCTTGCAAGGACTTTGACGCTATATCCAGTTATATCCAGGTCTACAAACAATCGCAATCCTGTTTGATTTTGCTTTGCAGGTTGATTGCTCAAGCAATGTAGTGTAGCTGATGGACGTAGTAGGACACATTGCATGGGAGTTTCAGAAAATGCAGGACCCTAACAGTTAGAAGCCCAACAGGAATCCTGAAAACAGGTCTCCCTCAGTTTCCTGAACCTCACATCGAGGTGGCATGCCACTTGGAACTTGGACGACATCAGTGTCGCAGCAGGCTGGGAGGCGGGTGACTCTGGGAAATGGAGTCCCGAGATGCATGCCATCGCAGATGGCGAAGTGGTCCAGCCTGGTTTAAGAGCCCTTATATCGCTCTTCCTTGTTTCACGTTCCCCTAAACCCCTAAACCCCTATAAACCCTAAACCCATTTATGAGAGATTGGCTTAGCAAAGCTCTAAGGAAGCTTGGCTCAAAGCACTTCTTGCACCAAGGTAGCTCGGCTCCGTCAACTGATGGCGTCGCAGAAAGTCACCAAGCCGCTCTTGGTGCTGGCGGCGAGAACCGGCAGACTCCACATCCTCAAGCTCTTGATGGACCAGGTTGACACTGCAAACTGGGTCGTTTTTGAATTTGCGACTACCTAGACCCCCCCAAAATACCATCTAGTCACAGCATAGATCCATAATTACTATAAAGGACCACGAGCAAAGATCGCTCTACTCAGTTGGGAATCGTCAAGCCAGGCCCGTGGCCAGGAGCTGCTAGAGGCGCATGCAGCCTCCGCAGCAATCGCTGCTGCCAGGACCGCCCCTGGTTTTCGACCTATGGGGGACCTACAGTAAAAGGCCGAACTGTGGGGTGGTGTCCCCCAGGTAGGGTCTGTAAGGTCACTGTAATTCACTATCATTCTACAGCGTCCTGTAAATGGCCACTCTCCACGGCCTTTCGGCCCTCGGCCTGGAGAAGCGCCCAAGCCGTAGGAGGCAGCAAGGCGGCTGTCAAGAATGAGCCCCGCGAAGATTAGTAATTAGGGTTTGGGGGTTAGGGTGGGCGCAACTTGTGCAGGAGCGGCCATATCAATGTGATGGAGCTGCTATGGGAGGAGGGGTTCACCGGAATGCTGCAGGCTCCCGTTGTTGCAAAGACCAGCAGCATTCTACTTGGCTGGTTGAGCCAAACTGCTGCACATCGCGGACTGAAATAAAGAATCAAGCAGCTACACTGCTACACTCCAAGCATCACTTCGCATGGGCTCATGCTACCATCGTTTTCGATACGCATGCAAGTGGTTTCGATCACTGCAAGACTGTTGATATTTTGATTTTCTGGAAACCCGAGTTTTCTTCCGTCGCTTGTCCCGGACCCTACAAGATTTCTCAATAGTTTCTGGACTCGATCCCTCTTCTTGCACTGAACCCTTCTAAGATCCCCGAAGCCTTGACCACCCTGCCCTTCGAAGGCCAGCGTTAGCGGCACTACGCCCTTGCACGAAGCTGCGCGTTGCGGAAGGTGCGATTCGTCGCTGTACTTTCAGTTCGTATTTTCTTCAAACCACTGAAGCTTTTGAAGAAATATGTGTAGTGTCAGCTTTGCTGCATTTTGCACTCCATACTTCTACTCGCCACCCTCCTCCAAGCATCTTGAGACCCTTGCAGGCCGGAAGCCGTTAGGTGGCTCATCGCCCACAAGGCAGGGTCACCGCAGCGCAGCCGTCGAACTGTTCAGTAACGCGCGGTCGTCAGAGAGTCGCAATGGAAAGCTCACTGAGATTCAGCGAAGTCGGCGAACCAGCCGAAGTGCTGGAGGGATTCTATTGTTCTGTTGTTGTTCGATAAGTGTGTGTGTATATATATATAATATGTATGTATGTATGTATGTATGTATGTATGTATGTATGTATGTATATATACACACACACACACACACTACTGGTAGGTTTCCCAGTAGTACCCTTTTGCGCACTTCTTGTTTTGGGGTCGCTGTAATAAACCGAATACTAGGAAATATTGTGACGGGGTTACTGGGGAACCTAGTATATGTATAAGTCTGTATAAGTATCTGTTTTTTTTAGTTAGTGCGTGTGTGCGCGAGAGAGAGAGAGAGAGAGAGAGAGAGAGAGAGAGAGAGAGAGTGATCGGGGGAACACATCACTCTTCCTCTACTTTGCTTGTTCATGATATTGTCTGTTCGTACGTCATTCGAGTCTGTCTCCGATCGGCTTTGAACAAAAATTGCGACCATGTCTAACTACCTTCGCCCCTCGTACCTGGCACAAAAAATCTTGTCAGCCGCGGGGTAAATGTGGTTGTGCTTTCACGTGTCGCCACAAGGCCCGCGTACAGAGATGGGCCAATCGGCCCGGACCTGGTCTCCTAAGCCCCGGAGAGAAGTGAGGTGAGGTGGGGTGAGCTGAGGTGAGAGACAGAGAGAGAGAGAGAGAGAGAGAGAGAGTAGCCATTTTGGCTCAAGCCGTGAGTGGTTCAAGAGACCGGGGAGGCTTCCGCCCCCTTTCTTTCTTTCTCTTTCTTCTACACCCCGCCAAACCGGTCTCTCAACCCGGGGGCCTGCCTTTTCTCGATCCCTCTCTCTGCCGCGATTCCTGAAGGGGGAAGAGGGCAAGTTTGCGCAGAACGAGCCGAGGGTCCGGGAGGGGGAGTACGTCGAGAGTGCAGCACGAGGGCATCCTCAGTGAAGGACCAGGGGGACTTTGTGCATAGCGGCGAGAAGGTGCACTTCCAGGGCTACCTGCGGTACGCGACCCAGTACCTGACCTACACTGGTGGGGGAGTGGAACGGGCGAAGCACCTGATCGAGCACCTTGCACACCCGACAGATTAGCAGCACAATGCCGACTGGGGGGACGAGCAGTGGTAACCCAGCACAGCAGCAAGAGATGCAACTGGACCACCTAGGTGGACAACAACAGCGCAAACGACCAGCAGGGGAGGGTGAACCGGCGGTGACCTTGAGCGCAATCCAAGAGACATTCAGAAGCGAGCTGG